AGAAGGGAAATGAAACTAAAACTTAACTTACATAACATAATGTAACAATAACTTAAAAATAACTTAACACTAATTTTTTTATCTTTTCTGTTTTATATTTTTTTAAAATTTTTTATTCACTGCTTTTGCTTTCTTTCCTTCACTTTCACCAGCACTTTCACTGGATAGAGGTTGCTTGGTAAAATATCTATCCAAAGAGGTTTGGCTTTGCCTACTTTTTAAAATGTTTCTAAAATGACTTAGACAAATGTCATTAAACTGAGCAGTAATACGGCCAGTGTGAATGTTTTTGAGATGTTTCTTTTCAATAAAATCAGTCACTTTCTGATAATACCTCAAGATTTCCTTTATCGAGTGAGATCCTTCCATGACAAAGCAAACTCACGGACTGAGACCAATGAACAGAAGTGAATAAAAAAAATTGCATTGCAAACTAATGTAATGTCCTATGGTGAGTTTTTGTTCATACCGTGGAGCAAAAATATGTTCGAATTTCATGTCATATCCTGAAAATTTTGAATGCTGGAGCATTCGTATCCTGAGGTACTACTGTACATTATATTCACTGAATTACTTTAACAATGATATAGCATGAAATAGATGCACCATTACACCACTACTGCACATAGCACTTGCCTGTGTGGAATGTAGTAGTGTTTTGCTTCTGTACATCATACTTTTGCTGTTAGCAATAGAGTTGTGCCGGTGATGTATCTAACTCTGTTTGGGGGAAAATTTTTGAATTGAAATAATGTGACTTGCACTACAAATCAGAAGTTCATATATGGATAATCTGGACCCGTATTCTGGTCACTGTCTCTGATCTCTCGTCTCTCGCAAGCCGGTCGCTGATTGGCTAATCATTTGGATTAGCCAATCAGCAACTGGCTTGCGAGAGACGAAAGACCAGAGACAGTGACCAGAATATGGCCCCTGGTCTTTTTCTCTTACAACTTCCATGACTGATCTCAACTTTCATCTATCTAATACCCTGTTGACACCGAGCATTTGTGGGGCATGGCACAAGAAGTTTCCCAACCTTTTAACTTAAACTCTGGACGAGTCCATTTTTGAATTGCCCCTCTTAACAATCCAATTGCCTCCCTGTGGGATGTGGGCCCCATGTTGGGAAACACTGATTTATAGGAAGTCATGGAATTTTATTTCCCCCCCCAAAAATAGTTCAAAAACTCACCACCAGCAGGAAATGGCACTGTATGCAATATTGTTAAACAAAAAATAAGACATGAAGATATCAGTTGAAAATGAACAATTTGGCAGAATTGAGAAATGCGATACACCAACATGTCCATAACATTCCTCCTAGATTTGGTAAGAGCTACTGTTGAGAACATAGTAATGCGATTTAACTTGCTTTGAGAAAATGGTGGATGCCACATTGAACATGCTTTGTAACATGCTTTAGAAACAATTAAAAACATTTTCAACTGATGTCTTAATGTGTTATTTCATTTAACAATATTGCATAAAGCGCTATTTCCAGCTGGTGGTTAGTTTTTGAACTATTTTTTTTTTTTTGTGGAAAATAAAATACCATGACTTCATGTAAACTGTTATCAAGTTTCATAACATTTTGTTCAGTAGTTTTCTTTTATGGCCATTTCAAAGTGGAACTTTAATTATAAAGACCCTGTATATTAAAATTGAATGAATATTTAGTAAATTATAACACTACCATTAAACAGACTACAATTTACTAATCAAAAAACTTTACATTTTAAACTATGATTTCTCTCATTTTTAAAATAAACAGCATTTATAAAAAAATATAAACATTGTTTATTTTAAAAATGAGAGAAACTTTTTTCATTCACACTTGAGATAACTTTTAGCCTATTATTTATGTATCTACATATAAATAAACATAAACAAAATTTAAAATTTTGATAACTTTGAAGATCTTCTAATCATGTATTCTGTAAAAAAATTGTATGCTGTTGATTGCCTGTAATGTGTGTAATGTTGTATTGCCTGTTTGCTATTATAACCTTTGAAATATGCTTTTATAGAAACATAAAAGTAATTAAATCATAGAAAAATATTTTAATGATTTAAAATATTTAAATTCATATAAATTTGAGTGAAGCATATATACTTACTTTCTCTTCAATTTTGCTATTATTGTTAAATGATGAACAAGGTTGTTCTGATGACTGTAAACTGCTCTGAATAAAACTTGCTGTTGATCTCTTTCTATTTGATCTCATTGTCTTCCTATAACTTCATTTGCAATAGTAATTCCTACATATGAGTATTGATCTGCAAGTCATAAATTGAGAAATATTTTAGAATAAGAAGAATCTAATGGTACTTTTAATATCAATAATTAGGAATTTATATTAATTGTTTTTTTTTATTCATGTAATATTAAGTCTACAAGTAAAAATAAAAGATTAACTCAATGAAATTTTTTGATAAGGATTTTTAATGATACTACTAAAAAATAAATGTAGCAAAGTATCAGATTACAATTTAATCCATACAAAGTCTTAAAGATCTACTTAACTTTTACTACAAAAAGAGGCATGTTAAGGAGCATAAAATGTTTTCTTTTTAACTATATTAAATAAAACTAGGAGATTACTTACTTTAAAATTATCCAGAGATATTAAAATTCAGAAGCCAGAATGATATCATGCTAAAAAATATTTTATCCTCACTGCAGATGCAGTAGAGGTTATAAGGCACTTCTGTTAAAACAGAAAAAAAAAATCTAATGACAGATTTCCAGAACATAAATATATAATTTAGTATTTTTATTAAATTTATAGTAATAGATCATAAAACTTACATTCTTATATTCTTCTAAATTAAAAGTAACTTTTCATCTTAATAACTCAATTACTAAATGATTGATTTAATCACAATAATAAAGTATAATTTTTCAGAATATAATACAATAAATGACATATTTGTCTAGTGTGAGTAGCCAAGGGTATAGGTGTGCTACCTATATCACTTGTGGGCACACAATCTCAAGATTAGCTCACTAAAACTTTTTATAGGAGGGCTTGTTGTAAGTTAATAGGATATAGACCAGTGTTTCTCAACCTCTAATGAATCATCGCCCCCTTCAATAAAACCGTTACGTAGTATCGCCCCCTTCAATTCAAAAAAATTTTGTTGTGTTTATTAGTTTATTTGATAATTATATACTTTCTAAAAAATTAAACATGTATTTACTCAGAATACTTAGAAGATTTTAATATAATTAACAAAATTAAAAAACATAAGTGTTAACAAATTTAACAAATATAAAAAAATATAACACTTTTTATTGAATATAAAATGTTTAAGTATACAGAAAAAATATTGTTAGTGCGAACCTTGAGGCTGATGAAATTGAGCCAATTTGTTCATCTTTGGTTCGAAATTTGTCAAAAGTAATCGCAAATCACCTTTTTGTGTTAATTCTAACCGATTTCTTTGTTTGGACAATAACTGTACAATAGCACTAATTCCTTTTTCTACAAGATAAGAAGTTGGAAATGCCATAATTAATAACTTGATCTCATTCCAAAGCATTTTATATCTGTGTCTATTATTTACCCAAAAACATTCAATATTATCCTGTGTATACAAAATCTTTGCTTCAACATCATTTTGCAAATCAATCATAATTTCTTGTATAGAGGAAGGTATCATATTTACATCCACGTTAAGAGGATCTATTACCCAGTTTGGTATTATTAACTGTTCTACGTCTTTAAAACGAATATTCATATCATTTTTCATATTTTCAATATGTATGCAATATATTTCTAAATCAGTATCCCCCAATATTTTTTGCACTTATTGTATTTAAACAAGAAAATAGAGAAAATTCTCTACGAGTCATATTATTTTTGTAGAGAGTTAGTTTGTTTAAGAAGGATGTTAGGGAACTCTTAACTTTGATGAGATTGATATTGTTGCCTTGCATTTTTGTCAAAAATTCATTAAACTTTTCATATATGTCTGATAAATAAGCAACATCATTATGTAATACTTCAACATTAAATGTGATTTCATATTTAATTGTATGTAGAAATTCAATGATAATATCGAACAAATTAAAAAATCTTTTGAGACAATTACCCTTAGATAGTCATCTAACTTCTGTATGAAGTAACAAACGTTCATATTTGTTTTATATGGTTTTCTTTGTGTTTTCACGCTGTTCGTGACGCACTTAAGACCCCCAGTAAGACAGTAATACAAAACTTACTCTGAATACTTTATTCAGGGTTCTACTTGGACCGGACGATCTCCAGTCGCATACATTAATCAGGGCCGTCCATCTTGCACGTGCCACTCTCTCTCTGGTGTTGCCAGATCTTTCTGTAACAAGATGGATATTATATATTGATATTCTCATACATGATAGAGATTCCTTAAGCTGGTTATGTAGCAAAGATTCTAGCATGTGTGTGTGAGATTGTATTTTATTCACAACAGGTCATAGAGTAGTGCCATATGTATGTTTCTTAGTGGATGTGAACAGTTTGGGGATATCTGGTGAAAGGATCTTGTCCAGTTATAACCTCCTAGCTCGGGTTACCAAACTTTTTTCACAGCAGGTCAGATAACTCGGAGAATAACGAGTGCAGGCTGCATAGCCATTTTGTTCAATGCAGTACACTGAATACACAAAAATAAAGACAACCAACATATTTATTTACCAAAAAGTTACCACAGAAGGTGACATTAGTAATAAGATAGTTTTAAACATCAATGCAAGCTAATCACCTTTCTTAGAAACTTCATTGCAGGTACAGTATTCACACAAAAAGCGCTCTGATATCCAAAGTCGCAAAAAGCCGCCGAATTTTTCATTTTACTGATTTTCCTAAAATTTATATCATTGTCAAATTCAAAAATCAAAACTGAACCAATTTTGGCATTTTTACTTACTATGTAGAAAAAATTAAAATAAGTGTAACTTCATCTACATTTATGATATTTTCATATAAATATAATTATATTTTAACTCATTCGTGGCACAGTGCGGCGGCAGGCCGGACGAACTGATATCGCGGGCCGTAGTTTGGTGACCTCTGGTCTAGTCCGAAGGGACAGCCTAGGGAATAGAGGAAAAGGACATACTTCAAAAAGTGTTTGGTATTAATTTATACAGAGGAAAATATTTGATAGAAAATAAGATTGTCGAGCATTTGTTCTAATAAAAAGAAAATAAAACAAGAATGAATGGAGGAAAAAACATCGAAAGACGAATAACTTTAAAAATACAAGAAAAAAATTACAGTACTTTAATCCATCCCAACACGTCCGCAGACTATAAAGGGCATCGTACGTACTGTACGTTATGAAAAAAACCTGTATACAGTATATATATAATTCAGTAAACAAAAACAATTACTTTTACCTAAGTTACTTAATAAATGTTAATGGTATAAATATAACACACAAACACGACGATTGCGTATTTACAATACAAAAAGTAACCTTTGTATTGTATCGACAACATAAAGTAGGCTATTATCGAATTGTCTTTTAATTGTCCTATTGAAATTATTACGACGATAAAATATACTAACGCCATTCGATTGTATTCTACGCGTAATTGTTTTGCTCGTGTTTAATTCGAAACTATGAATAATTTAAACAATTCGAAATAATTATCGGATCAATTTAACAACTAATTATTTTAGAAACAATTAAAAATATTTTGGTGGAGATGAAAAAAGGTCCTCAGTCAATATTTTTATATAAAGTTTTTTTTTTCGTATGGTCGACGTCGTCGGACGTTTTTATAAATAACCAGATGTCAATTAACCGCATTTATATAGCCTAGATTTTTTATCTGATGGTATGACGTCACAATCGTACGATTATATTCACGCGGTTTAATACTCTTTGGCCATTCTTAAAACGAAATAACGAAAAATGTTACCCTTATATTCTTCGGTTACGCTTTAAATTGGTTGGGAAGGATAACCCATGACGATTATAATAAGTTGATCACTTTATAGAAATCGATGGATGATTTTCGTCACCGTTCTTTACCGAATTTACGGATTTTTAGAACGATTCTCGTAATTTTTAACGACAAAACAGACGATTTAATAAATTAATCGGAAGCGGAACCGAGAATTTCGAATTAATTTCGATGGTTCCGACGTACGGAGTTAAACCGGTCGAACCGGAAGTAAGTGACTCGATGGATATTTTTTTTTTATTTTCGTCGATACGACTTGCGGATCAAATAACGGATCGAATTAAACTTCATTTATGTACGGAAGAATATTTAATTTCTAACACAGCTATAAATTAAATCGATCGTGTTTAACATCCCGGAGTGTATTAAACACCAGCGGATATCGCAGGTTAACGCATTAAATAGAAAGTCAATTCAGAACTAAAAATTGAAATTTATCTTTCAGAAGTTACTCGTGGCCTGGAGCGAAATATACATATTTACGCTTCCCTACACCGACTACACAATGAATTTCAAAATTTCTTTGTATATCACGTTTAAAGTGGTAATCCGATAGAACCCAACTTTTTCTGGATGACGATTCAGTGAACCCGACACCGATTCTTATAAAATGTCAATGGCGCAAAAAGTTTCTTACCCTAAACAAAGTGAAGTTTTAGGTAAATTTCTGAAGTTCTAGAACATGATATTTCCGGAACGGATCGTCCGATCCGAAAACAAAGTTTATTGCATATCCTCGAATCCTCGTCTATCTATCGACACCTAATTGACCCATCGACATACCGTGATCCATTTCTTCTATCGGGCCGGCGAATCTTTTTTTGCATACGTGAAATTTTCATTGGAATGTCGTTCCATCGTCCAATTACAGACGAGCGCGCGAAACTCAAACGTTTTAAACTCGAACTGTCCGATTGACATTTTTTTAAGTCCAACGGACAAAGACGTTTTGCCTTGCCGTGGATACATCTTTTTTTTTCAAATTTCGAAAATCCTTTATAATAATTTTTTATTCAATTTGGCCGAATTCAAATGCTGAATTTATTAATTTAACGATGTTAAATTTTAATCTTTCGAAAAATTGTGTAAATGTAATGTTTAACCCCTTCCACCTAAAATAAAATACGTAATCATTTCAAACTACAAATTTTAGCGTGTATTGCTGAAACTTTTAACACGCGTGGTGCGCATTTCGGGCGTTTTTGCCTGGATACGTAATTTAGTGATGTGCCGGATATCCGTATCCGTGGGGGAAAAAGAGCCGTATCCGTATTCGTATCCGTTACTTTTTAGCGGATCTTTAACGGATCTTTTATCTTAATGATTTTCATTACTTATATCAAATTTTAAAGATAGGTAGCTATAAAATACTAACAACGTCAATTCAAATAACTTTTTATTTCTTAAGATTACATATTTGGCATATTCATATTGCAAAAATTTTATCATGCAAAAATCATTTACTATCGTAAAATATTTCCATATTACACTACTAAACTTTTTTGTCAAGATTGTTTTTATTTTAATTTAACGCAACACTCTCCAAAACACAAACGTAATCTATGCTATTCCGTGTCACACTAAACTATAAACAAAAACACGCACAGTGCAAGTCAAAACACGTCGTGTTACTAACGCAAAGCCTCAACAATCAGTCCAAGCTCACATGCACCGGCGCCGACTGAGTACGAAGGTTGAGATCCGTATCCGTGGATCTAGACAATAATGCACCGTATCTGTATCCGCGGATATACATTTCTAACGATCCGGCACATAACTAATACTGTACGTACTGTACACGCATAAACTGCGATTTTTAAACGCATATAAATCCACTCCTCACTCTTTGTAATATATCTTTTAAACATTATTACAGGTACAGTATATTTATGTAGTTTTATTTATACCTAAATATAATCGGAAAGCTATTTTCAATGATTTTCACGAAACGATTTAATTTGTGTGTGAAAAAAAGTTAATTTTTGATTTTCAAGATGCTTTTGTTTCTGATAGAGCGACAGGACATAATAAGTTATATTTTAGATCGTATTATAGAATTAGTTCTAAGTTGGACGCAAAGGAAGTTACACGTGGCTCCGATCGATCCGACAGGTCATAGCTTGCTTTGGAGGAAACTTTCGTATGTTGAAACAGCTCATTGTTTTATTACAATTCTTAGTTTATATTTCTGGTAATGCTTTATATTGAA